GGAGGAGGAGGAGGAGGAGGAGGAGGAGGAGGAGGAAGAGGAGGAGGAAGCAGGTGATGTTCTCGCAGCCGATGCGGCGCAGGAAGTGACCCTCCTCGTCAAACTCCACGACGCAGTGTCCCTGCGGAGGATTCGCTCGTTAGATCGCTCGTTAAAGTAGTTATTAAAGAGCTCGTTAGTGCGTCCCTGAGGAAGGACGGGAAGGGGAAGATTGCTCGTTATATCGCTCAAATAAGAGCTCGTTAGCGCGTCCAGTGACTCCACACCGTTACATCGCTACGGTAACAGCGTGTTCTCACCTTGAGGTCACAGACGATGAAGCCACTGTCTCTGATCGCAACACCGGACATAATTCCACGCTTAGTGTCACATCGCCACGGAAACAACAACAACAACGACGCGCGCACTCACCTTGAAGTCGCAGACGACATAGCTACACCGTCACATCGTCCGTGGCGACGGCGCGCTGAGTTCAAGTATCAGTTCGGCATCCCCGGCAGAGAGGAGGGCCAGCTGTGGTACCCGCGCAAGGTGAGGGTCTCCTCCCCCTCTCCCCCTCTCCCCTCCCCCTCTCCCCCTCTCCTCTTCGGCATTCTCGAGTGTTATAGAAGCTTCCTCCTCTCTTAATCTCCAAAACCTCTGCATGGCTCGTTGTCATTGACGAAGACTTACGTTAATGACGACGACAATGATGATGACAATTACGATGATGACAATGACAGTGAAATTCACCATTGAGCGCTATGGTTAGAGATTGATCGTCTGAGTTTAGCGTACCACGCCCCTGACCAACCAAAACAAAAAACAAAAACACCAAAAATTAATTCGTTAACTCCGCATCTCGCCCGCAGGTGGCGGTCATCCGCACGTCGGGCAAGTTCGTCGTCTGCGACCGCGGCAACGAGCGCTCGCGCATGCAGATCTTCACGAAGAACGGCCACTTCATCAAGAAGATCGCGATCCGCTACATCGACATCGTCGCCGGCCTCGCGATCACGCACCAGGGCCACGTCGTCGCCGTCGACAGCGTGTCGCCGACCGTGTTCCGCATCTCAGAGTCCGGAGACCTGCTGAAGTGGTTTGACTGCAGCGACTACATGCGCGAGCCGTCCGACATTGCGATCAGCGGCAAGAACTACTTCGTCTGCGACTTCAAGGTGAGCGCGCGCGTCGTCGTTGTTGTCGTTGTTTCCGTGGCGACGGCGCGCTACGATGTGACGGTGTAGCTATGTCGTCTGCGACTTCAAGGTGAGCGCGCGTGTTGTTGTTGTTGTTTTGTGTGTGTTTGCGTAGGTGTAAGTTCTGTATCTATGTGTGTACAGGTGTAAGTTCCGTATCTATGTGTGTACAGGTGTAAGTTCTGTATATATGTGTGTGCGTAGGTGTAAGTTCTGTATCTATGTGTGTACAGGTGTAAGTTCTGTATCTATGTGTGTACAGGTGTAAGTTCTGTATCTGTGTGTGTACAGGTGTAAGTTCTGTATATATGTGTACAGGTGTAAGTTCTGTATCTATGTGTGCGTAGGTGTAAGTTCTGTATCTATGCGTGTACAGGTGTAAGTTCTGTATCTGTGTGTGTGCGTAGGTGTAAGTTTGGCCAGCTGGGACCGGGCAAGACGCAGTTCAACTCGCCGCACGGCTTCTGCCTCGGCATAGATGAGGACATCGTCGTCGCCGACACCAACAACCACCGCATCCAGGTGTTCGAGAAGACCGGAGATACAGAACTTACACCTGTACACACACAGATACAGAACTTACACCTGTACACACATAGATACAGAACTTACACCTACGCACACACACAGATACAGAACTTACACCTACGCGCACAGATACAGAACTTATATCTACGCACACACATAGATACAGAACTTACACCTACGCACACACATAGATACAGAACTTACACCTACGCACACACATAGATACAGAACTTACACCTACGCACACATATATACAGAACTTACACCTACGCACACACATAGATACAGAACTTACACCT